ATCCGCTCAAAATAGTTGCTTTATGCTAATAAATTAAAATTCCTCGCTCTTCGCCTCTTTGCAATGGCAGTCTTTTTTCTTTATTTGATTAGTCGTGCAGCATGTCTTTCACAATCGCATCCAAAGCTACAATATCAAGTTTCATATATACAATTAGTATTATACAATCGTATGTCATTGATGAGTTATCAATATTGTCAAGAAGTTATAATAAAATCCTAAAACATGGCTAAAAAGAAAACAGAGTGTTCAGTAATATATTCAGTGATAAATTGGAACGTTTTCTTATATACATCAATAGCACCACCCTTATACACAAGGAGGCGTAATACAACTTAATTTTCATCAAACATCAAATAACAAAGCATAAACTTATATCGGCACAACGGACAAGTATTCTTCCCCTCAAGAATCAAGAAACCATATACTCTCCATGAAAAACATGAGAGCAAGGAAAAACCGTGCCTTCTTGTTCACAATCATCATCTGACTTATCAAACTCCTCCAAGCAAATCGAACAACCACTCGATTCTTTACTTGATGAAAACCCTTCATTATTCATAGGCCTTAGGATCTCCCTTTTCCGTAGGAAACTCTTCACTTCCATCCTAATTTCTTCGTCTATATCATAATCCTCATTCGGGTATCTTCCTCGAAATTATTATTATTATTACCAACTTCCTCGATATCCATATCCATAGTCTCGGCCACCTTGACTATTCAATCAATGCAAGAGAAGTACGCGTTTTAGCTTCAACATCTTCTAGAAGTTCCTCACAACTTTGTTCTATCGCTTCATAGACACACTCATCGGCATATTTCATCCTCGTAAAGTTCTCCAAGCCACTCCTTAACTTCCCATTCTGTAAGCTCATCTTCGAAATCAGTAGTTCTATCTAACACATGCGTAACAATTTTTTCTCCGTTAGGGTTGCGGCTATCATTGTATCATATATGGATTGTAAAGAAGTCGTCGAGTGGGTGTTTCGAGTTTGAGGTTGAGGTTGAAGTAGACTCATCATCAACTGCCCAAGATAACACTTCATATCCAGATATTGACCTTGAATACAATAAGGAGAAAATCATGGTTTGGGTGATCATGGAAATATTAAAGTAAGAACTATTTTTTGTGGGTTTTCAGTTTTCAGGAATAAAGAAAAATTCAAGTGTAATTTGTATATCTAACCTATATATATATATAGAAAATGCTCAAAACTAACCCTTAAAAAAGAACTTTTCTTTATACGCAAGGAATTTCCTAAATTATGTCTATTATATATTTCCAAATATCATTAGTTGGAATTCTATGTAGATTTTGTATATCTCTCTGATTTTGTATATCCGATCCTTATTCATAGCTGCAAAAACAAAAATGTATTTCCAAAATTAGCTGTACAAAAATAAAGATAGTCGGCTAATAAGATGAGTGTAATAAGATAGAGATAGTGTGTTTTCAAAAAAAAAGATAGAGATAGTGAAAATAGCTAGGAATGTCGTTTAGGACTACGGCTAATGTGTGATTTTTTATTTTATATTGTTTCAAATAGCGCACCCAAATCAATCAAACTCGGGGTAATTATAATTATTGAGTTGCAATATTATACTTACTTACTTAGTTGTGGCGGTTAAATATACGAAATATACCTTTTTTTATACATCACATTAGTTGATTATCAAACAGGGCCATTATTAGCTAGAATTCGTTTTTTATTTTATTAAAAAGAATTAGGACTAAAATTAAAATTTTATTTTCCTAATAAAATTCACTCCCTTATATATTCTCATTCTTATGGGAGTAAATTTTTTTATAGCAACTTTTTAAATTTATTAGTAATAATAAAATAGATAAGTCAAACTTGGAATCCTTGGAAGATTTGTACACTAGTTCAAGAAAATCACAGTGCTTCTTTCCAATAAGAAAATTAAGATTTTTTTTTTTTTCAAAAAATAAAAATCAGGCATAGCCGTGTGGGTAATGAAGTGCTTACTTGGTGGCAAGTCAGCCACTTACATATTTTCTATATATAATTATTATGTATGAATGTTGAAGTAATAATAATACGGAGTATCAAAAAGCCTTTAACCTTGATTATGCATAACATGAAGTGTTTAACATCATCAACAATACGAGGGGTGGAAGTTACATCTTGGGTGATAGGAGCCAAACAATACTACTAGTAATGATGACCAGAAGCCAGTTGATGATCTCTTTACCGTTCACCTATCGTACCACGAAGACGGCCTTAACGACGTTAACGTGAAAACAATAAATGTGAGTTTAGAGTCCCCTTATTGTGGGAATGGCAAGATGCCGTCATGAATTGCCTCAAGGATAATGATGTTGATATTAATGCTTGGGATTCTATTGTTGATGTTGTGGTACAAAGTTGTGAGCTCTTGCTCAATGATGTTCGTGATTCTGGCCGTAAGTCACTTGCTATGTACGTCAAGGCTGTAGTGTACCATGTGGATGAGGAGGAGGAGAAGGAGGAGGAGGATGGTGATGATCACGAGTATGACTACGATGATGAGCTGATGGAGGTGGAAGATCAAGTGGAGGTTCGTGGTCTTGAGGAGGAGGTGGTGGAGGAAGAGGAGCCTATGTACTTGGATGACATTGGTGATGATGAGGAGATTATCGAGGTTCGTAAGAAAGACGACATAGAATTTCGTCTAGAAGCAAGTGGAGTACGGTTTTGTAATGGTTATTCAGAGGTTAAGGAGAATTGCTCAATATGTTTAGAGGAGTTTGGGAATTGAAGTCGGACAATGTGGCGATGCTTCCTTGCTCTCATGTATATCACAAGAATTGCTTTCTTGGTTGGACATTTGAGCGAAAAGGAACATGTTTGTTATGTCGATCGGAGCTATTATTGTTGTGTTGATTGGGGTAATTTGATTTTATTAGCTTTAATTGTTATATTTTTGTATCAAACATTCCATTTTAGTATCTTATTCTTGAACTTGACTTTTGTGAATTGTAACTTCCTGATCATCATATATTCCCTGACTCTAGCACTTGATCTATGCCTATCATATATCCTTGATCTTTCAAAGCCGAAATTATAACAGAAAAACTTTGTTTATCCGCTTTCTTCTTGAAACTTAATTCAAGAGGATTAACAGTCACATTAAAACCTGCAGGACTCGAAACTGTTTCTTACCTGTTTCTGTCAAGTTTGCAGTCAGGGGATCAAGTCAATGTGCTGATGTTTTGGGGATGGAGGACACCAAAAGGCGGGTTGCATTACAGATGGAAATATAGGGGGTGCTAGAAGCTGCAAGAATGAGAAGATTGCTTGATAGTTCATGCCCTAGAAAAAACATTATTAAATTTTAGTACTCTTTGGCTTAGTTATTTGCTATTTAGAAAAACTTGGTTAATACTTTTGTATATATATATAATGACAAAATTAGAATTTATGCCTATTAAGACCTTTTTTTTTTTTTTTTTCTAAATGTACCCTTCTGGAATTATTTTTTTTAAAAACTAAAAAATGAACAAAGAGGGCGACTTTAATTTGCCCTTGAGATTTTGATCAAAGAGGGCGAAAATTTTTGTCCTCTTAGATTTTGATCAAAGAGGGCGAAAAACTTTGTCCTATTTGTTTTTATCAAAGAGGGAGAAATTTTTTGCCTTTTTTGATCTTTACAAAGAGGACGAAAGATGTTGCCCTTTGAAACTAATAGGACGAAGCTATTAAGGCAACTTAGGGGCGATTTTAAAATCGCCCTCTTTGCCTAATAAGGCGAAATTTGAATCTAAGAGGGCGATTTAAATCGCCCTCTTTGATCTTATTTGTTGTAGTGTCTCATATCTAACAATCATACAATTCTACAAATATACATAAACTATTACTGTACTAAAGTGAATGTGACAACTTTAATGTAACAATCCATCATTGCAAAAATTAGTTTTAATGTAACAGGAAATATTGTGGTGTAACGAATGTAGAAATAAATAAGATTATAGATTACCTTCTCAGCCAATTTGGTCAACTCTGAACCATATTTGCTTAGCAATTCGAATTCATTCGATTCGAATTTGGTAGAAAACTGCTTATTTTTTAACATCGTCTTGATCTCATAACGGAGGGGCATATTAGTAAGAGGATGAAAATAACCTCAACAGCTTATTGTAGGGTTTTAATTCAATGCTTCTACAATCATCATATGAGGCCAATGCAGAATTTTTTCCAGTATAAAAAGCAAAGGTATAGTTTTGTATTGATTGTAATTGCACACAGAATATTTTTTTTCTATTTTTATCTTGGAGATATAAAAATTATCTTTTTATATGTTCGTCAATTTTGTTTTTTTTTTTAGGGAACGTCAAACATATAATATATCATAAAAAGTTAATAAAGTATAAAAAGTTTTTATTTTTTTTCCCAATAATTATCATAAAATAGAATCTAGTTTTTTTTTTTTTTTTTTTTTTTTTTTTGAAAGAAAAATAGAATCTACTTTTGAAAGAAAAAAACTACATATTTTCATATCTAAGTTTGATTTGGTCTTACATTATTATAAGTGTTTTTAAGAATAATTTATACTACGTATTAAAAAATGATAAATTTTATAATATATAAGTATAACTTTAAAAAATTAGAATAACTATAATCCGTCTTATAATAAATAAAAAATCACCTTTAATTTGTGTTTTTCACCTATTTTGACCTTATTTTCCATTATGTTTCTCTCATAGTTCACAGTCATTTATAATAAAAATAAATAAATAAACACCATTTACACCAATGTGGCTATAAAAATAAAATAACAAAAGCTAATCTTATAGCCCAAAAAAATAAAAATAAAATAAAAAAAAGAGGTTATAGACAAAAAAAAAAACAAAAAAAAAAACAGGACATATAGCAGTATCAGAGTTTAACTGCATGAAGCCACAACCTTTGCCAACCTGCAAAATTAAAACTTCTAAAGAAGCTCGGAGCGGATCAGTCACAATGATCAGACAAATCCGGAGAATAACTTACGAAGAGAAATTATTTTTGAAGATGGGTAAATCTTATAGGAGAAGATGTTTATTCCGAGAATACCAGAAGAAAGCTGATTTACTGGTGTGATCTGTTAATTACAAATATTTTAGTTAGGAAACACACTGTTACAATGTATGTCAAAGGCCTACATAACTCTAATTCTTTACTATCCACACAATGTACAATGTTTTATGAAGAAAAGAGAAAAAATTCCTGTGAGTAATTGAGCTAAACGAAAAAATCTCTGTACAATTGTACATCAAGGGAAGGAAATTGTACGGCATCTTTTAAATGGCATTCTTGAGGCCAAGCTTCACATTACGGACTTTCACTGATAGTAGTTGTTTGTGATCCTCAATGTCCTTCAAAACTGAAAGCAAGTTGGCTCGGTAAACTTCACACTTTCGGTTAGCTGATTCTAGCTCCTCACTAAGTTCTCTGATTTTCTGGTCCATGCAGTCCTAAGTAAAAATTGCAGAGAATGAATTAGATAGTTGAGCAAGTTCTGATTGCTTCAAAAGTGTGCCTATTGCTTAATATTTATCAAATTTAAATTCCCAGCACATTTAGTTGCATACAAAAAAGACAAAGACTAATAAAAATAGTGAAATAAAAGAAGTGTTGAACCAATTTACTTGTTTACTACTAGGTAATACTGTCATATTTGTAAATTTATCAGCACTAAAATATAAGGCCAAAAGAGAACAAAGATATCAAATGTAAACACCAAACATCCTTTAGTTAAATGACACTAATCCAATACAGCAATACAGACATACCAATCCCAAACAGTAATTGCAGAATCAGTTCAAACTCCAAAGTTATAATCTCAGAGCTAATTTGGGTATCCCAAATAAAATCAACTTAAGGAAATCTATAACATTTACTTAACTCCTGCTTCTCCTCTACAATTTTTGTTATAACAGGTTTGCTATAATTATTCTAAGATGATTCAAGAGACGAAATTCAGCTTGGATGAGGAAAGGAGGAAAGACTCGAAAGAGGGAGGATGGTTCAATCAGACAGCCACAAAAGTGACAAAACCAAGATTCACAGTTAAGGTTAAGCAAAACTATCACCATTTTCACCAAATCAGACTACGATAAAACAGCTCACAATATAATCTATAGAATCTTGTCATCTTCTCTTTTACTACAATTTGGAGAAAAAAAAAATAGTAATAACAAGTTTAAATTCAGCTCATCAACACTCAAATCTTGAAAATCATATAAGGTAGGCTACATTGCTCTGCATGTAAGTTTCTCTATACTTCTGTCTGGTTGAAATATCATTTGTAAGCCACTCAATTCAACAATAGTCTATGTCAAGGAGAGTTCCAAATGTATGTAATACTACTGGTCCATCACAAAGGGAGTCAAACAACTTACAACGGGGTTTTGGATCATAATAGACTAAATTATGATGACTCGATAATTAGTGCAGTTTTAACTTGAGAGACCATAGGTTTCAGATAACAAGTCTAATCACTAATGGAATCTGCTAACAGGGGTAAGAGGCTGCAAACTCTATGAAGCAAAGGACCAAGATGGTGCATATATCATATAAAGAAAATTTTACTTCCAAATTGCTGCCTAATTATGATCACAAGAAGCTTTTTTTTTTTTTTTTTTTTTTTTTTTTTTTTTTGAGTTACAGCCATTATGTAACCTAAACAATTCCCTAATTCTTTATGAGAGGTTTTATCTTTAAAAGAATCAATGTCTGACTGACTGTAGAGCCACCCTTGCATCAGGGAGCTCACAGAAACCTGACATAGGTTAAAAACTAAAAGAGACGGAACTATAGACTCGAAAATTTATCAACTAAAGCCTAAATGAGGTATTAACATGTCAAAATGACTCTAAATTGTTGATTGGAAGTGCCTCATTATTATGATTCTTTTCTTATAAAGAAGACTTTTTAGCCAATCAGACCCTGAGTCCACTTAGGAACCCCGTTACTCTAAAGAGTCAAAAGTCTGAGCACTTTATTATAGACCAAATGAGCAATAATTTACTGAGGTAGCCCCCCTCCTATCTTCACATAAAGAAGAATCCCATATCAAACATAACAGAATTTGTTGCTACACAAGTTGGCAATGTTACCCAAAAACCCCAGTTTCCCACAGATCAAATTGAAAAGTAGCCTCCAAGTGACATGGAAGTGTCAGCTTAAAGCAGTTTTCAACTTTCTGCTCCTGACTGAAAGTTTCTTATGTAAACATACAAAGCTTCAGTGATAGTTTCAAGTATTTTGTCCACTAGTCAAAGAGATCAGACAGGATATCCTGTACAACTAGGTTAGTATCTGTATTCCTATAGACAGTCATCTTTGGAAAAGCTTAACCAATCTCAAAATCTGAAATATTCTTTTCCCCCTTGTAAGACTTACACACAGAATATATCCAAGCTATCAAATAAGTACTCTATTCATAACAAAAAAGATAGCAGCATAAAAGATATCCCAATGTTCATACAAAAAAATAAAGAGGGGGTTAGCAAATAAGCTAGAGCACAGCATAGATTTGTCATAAATCAAGAAGCACGAGCAAATTGTAATCTAAATGATCAGAGAGTTTCTCATGTACCTCAGACACTAGCTGACTGCGGCTCATACCATTGTCATGGCTGGATTTATTCCCTGAGCCTCCTCTCATTAAGTCCTTAACAGGCCCATTTGCCATAGAACTCTTTCGCACGCTCTTTAAAGCCTGGGATACCTTTTCTGCTGCCTCTTCTAGAGCAGCCACTGCCACATCATATGTCTCTGAAGTACTAGCCCCTTCATCAACAAATTTAAAAGCTTCGTGACGTAGGGAATTATACCGGACTATATGGGACTCTAGATAACTAGTTACAGTACTTCCATGCGGATTATCCAACATAACACTACTCTTGGCGTTCCTTGTCCATCTCTTCAAAATGTAATGTGAGGGCAGAGTAAGAATATTAGTCACTCTAAACACTGCCAGTACATGTCGGCAAAGAAGCCCTGAGAACTCAAACATCTGGCAACTGCAAGTTGCTTGCATTTCTAAGACATTAAATCGCACACAGAATACCTTATGATCCTCCCCATATTTTGCTACTTGATATGTGATAACCTCCCCAACATCATCTGTCTTTGTCGCCATATAAGTCAAAGTCCCTACCAACTCTTCCTGAAACCTCATAAATACTTTTCTAGTGTAAAGTCCAGAGACCTGTTTCTCCATTGGAGAAGGGGTTTTAAGAGCAGGAGGAGTACTAATAGTCTCAAAATCAGCTTTAACTTCCTTTTCATTTCGACTCTCAAGAGCCTTTTCATAAAGCTTAAAGAACTGACTAAGATTGGTGGACGCGTTCACATACCCATCAAAGTACGAATTCATACTATCACTACGTTGTGTTACTGACATCTCAGCAAAAAATGCATCTCGCAAATACACTGGAACCCACTGCCTCCTAGCAGAATAAATCAACTGAAGCCACCCATTATCCCTAAGATCATACCTATCCAAAACCGACAACCAACAAGACTCAAACTCATCAACCGACTCAGGCAAGTTAACACACTTATGAAAATCCGCCTCAAACCCCGGAAGCTCAAGCAAAACATGAGACAACTTCTCCTGACACTTCTTAAAGATATGCCATTTACAAAACCGGTGCCGGGTACCAGGGAAAACCTGCATTATAGCAGACTTAATAGTGGCATCATAATCAGTAGTTATCGACAATGGATGCTTCCCCGACATAGCATCCAACCATGTATTAAACAACCAAACCAAGGACGATTCAGATTCATTGATCAAAAAAGCACACCCAAACAACACAGGATGACCATGATGATTAATTCCAGTAAAAGGCGCGAAAGGCAATCTATATCTATTAGACCTAAAAGTAGTATCAAAAGTTACAGTATCACCAAAATAACTATAATTCATTCTACCTCTACTATCAGCCCAGAAAACATTACCTGTAGAACAAGAAGAATTATGATCACCATCTCCTTGAACCGCGAAATAAAAACCCGAATTTTCCAACTTCATTTGCTTTAAATACTCAATTAGAAGCTGAAAATCACCCTCAATACTCCTCTGTTTATTGTTCCTCATATAATTTCTACAATCAACTTCAGTAAACCCCACTTTACTAATCCCACCATATTCCTTAATCAATGCAGACATTATCCTTCTAGGCCCTAATCCAGCAGCCTGCAATGTATCAATCAACGTTTTCGCCGGCCCCGAAATCTGTCTATGTGATCGCAGGCAATGCACTTGATCAGGAGGAACAAGCTCATGATTATGCTCTTTACAAAACCCACTTACAACCCATTTTCCAGAATCCTGAATTTTTACAGACAACATTGCTTTACACCCAACTCTTGTAATCATCCTAGGACGCTTAATTTCTCTATCTTTCGTCCTTTTTTCATTCAAATTACGAAACCCCTCTTTCGCACAAACGAAGGAGCGCTGTATAATTGCGCCATCTTTACGCGAACGGCGCGACGAGCTGACCCGGGTGCTGAACCCGATTCGACGCGCGTACGAATTGTAGAAGGCTTTTGCAGCTTCTTCGGACTCGAACTCCATGCCATCGTAGGGTTCAAGGTCGAGCAATTCTCCTTCAATGGCGAACGAGAAAGGTGTAGTTGGGTGTAGAAATGGAGTTTCTGGGATATCATTTTCGTCGATTTCAATGGCGTCGTCGGAAATTGTGGCCCCAGGTCCTAATTCTATGTCGAAATTTAAGACCTGGTTTTCCATTTCAAAAAATTGGGGGAAAAATTAAGGATTGAATTATAGATGAAAATGGGTATTAGGGTTTCTGGGATTTTCTTTCATTGTAAAAAAAAATTAATTGAAAAGGGGGGAAATTTAATTTTTTTTTTTTTGAAATTTAATTGAAATGAAGGGTTTAAAGAAGGGGATTAGGGGAATAATAATTAGAAAAAACGATTGAAGGTTTGATAATGGAGGAGAGAGAAAGTTATGGTGGGTGGAGTTTATCAGTTCATGTGGTAGTCTTTATCTGATTGTGAACATAGAATTGATCACGACCGTCTGATTTTAATTATTGATGAAATTGATTGATTCTTAACCGTAGATTTTTATTTTTATTTTGGAAGGTTTTTATTTTATTTTTTTATTTTGGATTTTTAAAAACACAAAAAATGTGGCCTAGTTTTATACTTTGGATTGGGCTTTATGTAGTGCTGCCTGATCCACTGATTAATTTAAAGCTGTTGAGTGTTGACTAATTTAAACTAAATGATCCAAAAGACCCTACTCGGATATTAGAATTAACCATTTACAGAGTAAATTAAAGAAGATTAGGTCAGACATTTTATTACCAATATGATTAATCGTAATACTAGATTTGATCAATCAACATAAATTTTTAGAAATATTATAGAGTGGGAAGTGAGAATCAAAATGAGAATTTTGAATCTGCTTCCTTCATTTCTATTTACTAGAATAATAATTCTGAAATAGATATTTCATATTACTTAGACTATATTATACGAAGTATTTGATAAGCTTTTGATAGATAAATTCGCTAAATTACCCTCGTAATGTACATTGGAAACAACTTTTGAGGGTAATAAAGCAAACCATGTGCTATAAGGCCCACCAACAACAATGCTTCTTTCATCTCCTTAAATTGTACCAAAGGTTATGGGTCAATTAAATGAAAACGGAGGAAGTATAATATAGTTAATGATGAAAGTGAAAAATAATAATCGTATTTTTTTCAAAAAAAAGTACAGTATTATATGTATGATTGGTAAGAAATTAAAGTACAACCGATTGTAATTAGTAGCTAAAGAAAAAGATAATAATTAAAATCATAGTGAAACAATACCAATTTATAAAGTTTTACAAATTAATTAATAACAAATGAAAATGTTCCAATTAATCATAAACGAAGGGAATTTCAAATCCCTTTGCAAGGGATAGTATTACCCTCTGTAACATGACTACATGGAAATAGAAACAAAGTCACACACAAGCTTTTATCCTTGTGACCTTGTCTGTCTTAATCTTTTCTTCTTTTTTATAGACATAGGTTCAAAGAAGCTTATCCTTGTCAACATCATCGTAGAGGGAAAATTGGAGCATATCTTGTCTAACGGTAAGGAATCTAACGATTGTTATCTCATAACTATGAGGTTTTCAATCCCCGCTAAACTTGGCACCTCTTGTTGTAGTATAAAAGTCGACAATTGTAGCAGATGAGTATATAACTTAGCTTTGGACCTTTGGTATAACAAATTTGATTTTGTTACACCAAATTTTATAAATACTTAATTACATATTACATATACGTAGTATTAATAATTAAAATTCAAAATATTGCAATATCCTTTATAACGGATGAACTGTACTTTAAAATACACTTTTACTTGAGCTTGTACCGGTAAAATCTGCAACTCATATTTGATATTTCATGGTCATATCGTTATTATTCTGCGTTAAGTTGCAGTAAGCTTTGAAAATGGATCAGAACAAGCGAAGTTGTGGGCCTAAAAACTGGAACAAAAAAAAGTTGGAGAAAGAAGAAAAGGTAGTAATTATGTAGGACCCAATCAAAGAATCTATTGGGCTAAGCCTGCACCCCATCCTCATATTAGTTACTTCTAAAGTCTCTAGCTTTTCTCTTCTAAAGTTCCTCTTTTTTTTTTTTTTTTTTTCCCCTTTTCTCTTCTTAAAATTATACTTGTAACATATTCTCTCATTACAAACTTTTCTATCATGAGGGTTTCTATTTTGCCTTTTGCTTCCCATACTAAAAAAAAAGTTAAAAAATTCTAAGTTTATCACCTTGATAAATAAATGGCAAAATTGTAAATAAATTAACAACTTTTTATTACAAATGAATCCCACATAAGTTGATATAATTACGAAAGTGTCGTGTTGACGGGTTGACGGTATACTTGTTGATATATTTACAGTTTTGTCATTTGATAAACGAATTTTATTTTCAATGTGATCAACTGGAACAGCCTTGAAAGAAAAAGTTTTTTTTATATATGAGAGTTAATGTGTTAATGTTAACTTATAACTTAATTCACTTGTATTTAGTCGGGATATATCAACTATAACTTGCATGTGTCACTTGCTCTATTTGTGTACAACATGAATGTTTTAAGAGTGTCACAAAATACAATGTCAGCAAATGAAATTTAATCTCACAAGTCACAATCCAAGGTTTTTTTTAAAAACAAAATAAAATTATTACTCGTCTATGTTTGAAGTGTATCAGCTAAAATACTGTATTTAATTTACGTAGATACTTGCTCTCTTTACATTAGTACGGAGTAATATAAGAGTGCATCATCTATGTTTGAAGTCTGATAAGGTTGTCTCAAGTTCCATAATTCATTTTATAAACAAAGTTGAAATGAAATTTAAATCTTATTTGCTTAATATGATCAATCATATTCTGATATTCATTTATTTATATGAAGTATGGAGTATCCAAGAATAATAGCTTGCTGTCTATCAAAAATCATATATATATATATAAGTAGCTAGATACAAAAATAATTAATTAATATATAATTAACATGATCGTTGAGAGCATGCTTATAGTAATTCAGCAATTGTATAAAGTTGTTGGGCCAGGCCAATTAAAAAATTAAAATTTTCTACTCTAGCTTGCTAGTAAGATTTTGTTTAATTTAAAGAGGTCCTTTTCAAGTAAGGTATTTTGAATGTAATCAACCTTGCTGAATTAGAAACATTATAAACCTAACCAAATGGAGTTAAGGAGTTTGAGGAGGTGTCTTGTACTTGAATCAAAGGCTAAAGCACACTAAAAATAGAGGAATTGAAATGATTTTTAATAAGTTTCATTAAATTTTAAATTAGATTCAATAATAATTGTCCAAGTTCAAACAAAAGTTCGGATAAATTTCAGTAATAATGATAATTTAAGTACAATAAATAATTCAAAACAACTTCATACAAATTGAAGTATTAATTTTAACACTTCCACAGTTTCATATAATCAATCTTATAATGACAAGAACTCACCATCACCATAACAAATCACTGTAATACCAACTTTGATTACTAATTATTTCCCCACAAAAATGTTAGGTTTTACAGCAATTTAAACAAAGAAATTACTTCAAATTGTGGGAACAAAACCTAAATCGTGTATAATAAAAATCATATTATACAACAACCAAATACTAATTAAAGTATTACAAACTAAACACCAAAATAATAAAGTATTTCAGAAAATACAAAGAAAAACACTAATATGAAAGATTCTAACTTGCCTCAACTCCAAGCCATGAAGATGAACATGAACATGAGAAAAACCAATGGCCACTTGAGTCTCAAACCTTGATACACTGTCAAAGGCGTGTATACACTTTCCTAAAGAGGTTTATTTCCCCCACACGGTGCTTGGGTTAAACCGGAAATCCTCTTTGAGATACAATTGAGTAAACTTCGTTCTTAGCACTAGAATCGAAGAACAATGAATAATTCATGATGAAGGCTAAATTTCAAGAGTTTTTTTTTTTCACAATAGTTTGCAAGAAAATTGAGAGAAAATGTGGAGAATACTTTTGGGAGAGTTAGAGTAAAGAATGTTCTATCATCTTTCTAAACTTCACGAAATTCTATTTAATAAGAGAAATAACCGTCAGCAAATAACCGCAGAACTAGGAAGTACCGCGGGGGCGAAAAAAATCAGCGCGGGCGCACCTCCTGGCAACGCGGGCGCCACTTGTCGGCTCGGGAGCTCCTCCCAAAATTCCTGCGAAATGAACTTGAAGTCAGTGAGGGGGGCAGTTTTAGCGCGGTCTGCAGCACGGGCGCGCCACCAACAGTGCGGGCGCGCCCCCCACTTTCATCCAACATGCTAATTTCCAGAGAGGAGCGCGGATTAGGCGCGCTTAACATGGGCGCAAGCGCGCACCATCCAACACTCTAAATCATCAACAATCCTCCCCCATTTAGAGTGTTTCTTTAAAACATTCTCCAGTTCTATCAATTTAGCCACATCTCATGCATCAATGCCAATGTCCCTTCGGATTGAATTGACACCTAGTACAATACATTTAACGATGACCATAACCCATGATTTCCATACGGATTGCATCACACGGATATATCCAACCATTCGAAGGTGAAGTACACACAAGACAAATCGAATTAATCATCACTTGACACTTTTAAACAGCCATGTGTCCGTATCTTTCATAAGTTCATCAAAGTCTATATGTCCATTTAGACTTCTGGAAGCGGCTAAACTTCGAACTTATATAGGTAGATTCTCATATACGTAATAGTGCCCTTGTGATAAGACACCTTCATTTAGAGCTTCTCAACTCTAAATCTTTGATAACTTTAAATATACGCTACCTTTAACATCACAAGTATCATAGCAATATGGGTCACAAACATTGCTAACAAATAACAAAATTGCAATTCAACCACATTGAATCTAAGACTTGATGTTTTTTCAAGCGTTAGATTGGGTTTCACAAATTCGTATTTTTGGACATAAACCCATCCCATTCATAGCAAATATGATGGAATGTCTTGGCATTGCCTTTGTAAAGCAATCCGCTAAATTTAACTTTGTTGGAACATAGTCAAGACTTATGACCCCATCATTGATAAGCTTTTTCACTAAGCTTGCCTAAGTGAAATATGCCGAGACTTACCATTATACACTTGACTATAGGCCTTTATTAACGCCGAATTAGAATCACAATGGATTGCCATCGGTGGCATTGGCTTTGGCAATAAAGGCAATTCTATGAGATTTCTCAACCACTCGGCTTCCTTACTAGCTGAAGCAAGAGCAATAAACTCCGCTGCCATAGTGGAATCCGCAATGCAAGTTTGTTTCTTCGAATACCATGAAATGGTACCTCCCCCAAACATGAATACCCAACCACTAACAGAAGAGTCATCCTCTTTGTAAGTGATCCAACTTGTAATCCACTATAAGATAGACCATTGTCTAACGTACCCATAAGGTACCTTAAGACCCTCCGAATTGCAAACCAATGCTGTACACCCGGGTTACTAGTAAATCTACTAAGTTTCCCTACAGCCAATGCAATGTCCGGCCTTGTACTGTCATGGCATACATCAAGGATCCAATTATCCTTGAATATACCAATTGGGAAACCGTTTTCCCCGAATTCTTAACCAATTTAACATTAGGTTCCATGGGGGTGTTCACGGGACACTTATCAAACATATTAAACCGTTTGATCATCTTCTCAATATAATGAGATTGACTTAAAATAAGTCTACCATAGTCCCTAATAATCTTGATGCGCAAAATGACATCTGCCTCCCCCAAAACCTTCATCTGAAAAGATGAGGA